CAGGGCTGCCCTCCGCTCGCAGGCAGGTTGGCCAATCATGTCGGCCGAATCATTAATCAAACGGCACGTCTTGCTGCTTCCCAGCCCAGCCCCCCTCCCCCTTGTTTACCTTATCCGCAAAATGCACAACGATGAAGGAGGTGTTTGACATGCGAGGCTTCTGGAAGTGCTGGCTGCCGCCGTGCCGATCATACAGTTTCTGCGCCCAGTTCTCATCTGTTCCCTTCGGGACCTTTTTACAAAAAGGGGGAAGGGAGAAGAAGAAAAAGTTACAACAGAAAAACGCAGATTTGCAGAAACAGGAGGAATCTTCGCTGGCTGGACTAAAATGGGTGCAGTGAAAGCAATTCTGCGTCGGGCCTGTAGCATCGGATTCCTGGAAAGCGGCGGGCAGTGGGCAGCAGAGCCCCCCCCCCCCCAGCCTTCTTGGTTATCCAGAGGCAGGCATTCTGTACGCTCTGTTGGGCCTCAGCTCGCTGTAGCGCCTGCCCTGGGTGCCCCCCGGCTTTTAAAAATGCCTCCCAACAAAAAGAATTCCTGGCTGTGCCCCTGTTCTGCACGAAGATCTGCACCTGCTGTTCATAACGCATCAAATGATTTTACCTAATGGTCAGTTCTCACAAAACTTACCCAGGTACAACATGCATGCAACACCCAGTAGTTGTGACAAATGTACATATGCGTGAACAAACCCCATTCCATTGGTCCCAACTGCCATGAATTTGAAAGGGGGAAAGCAGCAGCTTGTGTGCAGGTGCACCTTTCGCACCTGCACAGTTCATACCTATTTTGTACCTGGGTGTAGGACAGGTACAAGATACAGCCGCTCTGAGCCACAACAAGGATCCACATACCCCAGGTCTACCCCATTTACCGGTCTAGCTGACGCCTGTACGGATGATGTCTGTCTCCTCTCCTTCCCAGGTTTGAGAAGTATTCCAAAATTTGCATCTGCCCATGTAGACTTGCGTTCCAGTGTGATGGCAGAATGCACCAACACGAGGTATGCCCAGAAGCAAGGGTGTGTGAGCAATTGATCCCACTCTTTGACTGTGCAAAGGACAGCCAGTACCATAACTAGGGTTGCCAACCTCCATGTAGCACCTGGAGATCTCCTGCTATTGCAATTTACCTCCAGGCCACCAAGACCAGTTTTCCTGGAGAAAAGGGCTGCTTTGTAGGATGGATTCTATGGCATTATACCCTGCTGAGTCCCCTCCCCTCCTCAAATCCCACCCTGCCCAGGCTCCAAACCCCCAAAATCTCCAGGTATTTCCCAACCCAGAGCTGGCGACCATAGCCATAACCAAATAGGGCAGTGATGGCGAACCTTTTAGAGACCGAGTGCCCAAACTGCGACCCAAAACCCACTTATTTATCGCAAAGTGCCAACACGGCCATTTAACCCGGATACTGAGGTTTTACTTTAGAAAAAACAACTCAGACACTAACTTAAGATGATCCAAACAAAGTAAGTAAAGCAATCCCAAATGCTTTCATTTACTTAAAATTATTTGGCAGAGAATTCGACACTTTAATGATGGTCTGGGCCTGGCTGGGGCGATGGCACGCGTGCCCACAGAGAGGGCTCTGAGTGCCACCTCTGGCACCCCTGCCATAGGTTCGCCACAACTGAAATAGGGGCTTCCATGCTATCTCAGTTGGATGGGGTTCCCAGTCACCACACTGGAAAGGAAATCAGGGACTTTAGCAAAGATATGCTGTCTACCAGTCAGGTATGGCTCCCCACCAAAATGGGGAAAACATGAATATCTCTGATGGAAGCCTGGGACAGTTTTACTGGCTGCAGATAAATCTTGGGCCTTTAAAAAAGTTTTATGTTGATCTTTTATACACATTTTCTCTTGCATCTTTTATTTTGCTTAATAATCTTTTTTTTTTTTACAACAAGGTCACCTTTACATAAGAAAACCGAAAATAAATATTTATGCAGAAATTTATTCCGGTTGAGCTTTTCTTCTTCTTCTTCTGCTTAAATAAGCAAACTCAAGTTTTGCGGGGTGGGTGGGAAGCAATAACTTTTCCCGAGTTAAAATAAGAAGTATTAATTACCTAAAGAAGATACAGTGCATATATTATTATTATCATCGTGAAAAGATCTCTTTCAGCAGTTAGCCGACAGCCTCTCCCTATGAAAACAATCTTAATTTCATAATCACCCACAGCACAGCACTCAAAATCTGCTTTTTCTGCACTTAATTATACAGAATAAAGCAATTCCGAAAGGCTTTTCTAGACAACGTCTCTTTCTCATTAAGATAGGTTACCTGGGGTTACTCATTCACTCAAGAATCCTCACTATGCAAAGATCTGATATTCATCAGAGTGTTTTAAAAGACTGTATTACAGCGCTTAACAATGTAGTTAAGCAACCATTGCTCAAACTAAGGCTGTTCTTTCCCCAGAACTGCTGCTGATACCTCCTATCTGTAACATAAGAAGAGCCCTGCTGGATCAGGCCAGTGGTCCATCTAGTCCAGCATCCTGTCTCACACAGTGGACAACCAGTTCCTCTGGAGGGCCAACAACCAATGCTCCCTCTAAGCTGTGGAGTCTTGTGAGCAAAAGTTCTACTTTGTGAGCAACGAGCATTACAGTTGTGAGTGAGCGATTTGGCTACTGCACAAATTAGTTTGCTCTGGAGCCATCCTTCCTGAGCTAAGACAAAAAACTGTGAGCTGGAGGCTAAAAAACTGTGAGCTAGCTCAAACTATCTCAGCTGAGAGGTAACACTGCCAACAACAGGGAACAGAGGCCAAGACCTTCCCTTGATGTTGCATCCTGGCACTGGGATTCAGAAGTTTAGTGCCTCTGAACGTGGAGACCAACAAAATATGTGGCAAAGTAGAAGCTTTCGTGAGTCACGGCTCATTTCTTCAGATACAGTGAGCAGTGACTCATGAATGCTCATACCCTGCCACATATTTTGTTAGACTTTAAGGTGCTACGGGACTCTTGCTCTTATCTACCACTACAGACAAACACGGCTACCCATCGTAATCGATCTGAACCTGGAGGTTCCCTTTAGTCCCCATCAGTGTTCCCTCTAAGATAAATTAGTGTGAGCTAGCTCACAGTATTTTAGCCTCCGGCTCACAGATTTTTGTCTTTGCTCAGGGAGGAGGGCTCCAGAGCAAACTAATTTATGCAGCAGCCAGATTGTTCGCTCACAGCCTTAAGGCCAGTAGCTCACAAAGTAGATTTTTTGCTCACAAGACTCCACAGCTTAGAGGGAGCACTGGTCCCCATGGCTAGTACCCACTGATAGACCCTATCCCCCATGATTCTATCTAATCCCCTTTTAAAGCTGTTTATTCCCATGGCTATCGCTATGTCCCCTGGCAGCGAATTCCACATTTTAATCATTGTCTGATAACACACCCCTAACATGCAGTCAAGTGTAGCGTACATCCTTCCCAGCGGTCTCTCCTCGGCAGTCCTTCCAATCTATGGGAGGCGTCATCCCACTCCAGAGCGTTTTCCGCCACAGACAAACACGGCTACCCATCGTGATCGATCTGAACCTAAGGTTCCCTTTAGTCTCCAATTCAGTGTTCCCTCTAAGCTGAGCTGCCATCGTTCCCACACTTTGGAGATTGGACACCCCTCCCCACACACACACCAGAGGGTACAGACCAGTGTTCCCTCTAAGCTGAGTTAGTGTGAACTAGCTCACAGTTTTTTAGCCTCCGGCTCACACATTATTTGTCTCGGCTCAGGAAGGAGGGTTCCAGAGCAAACTAATTTACGCAGTG